TTTTATTTTTTAAAAGGCCTTCAGGGAAGGTGAAACTTGTACGAGGCTTAACCGACCTACAAGTACTCCACCCTCCTCTCATCGAACTCCGGTGTCCGTTTCTGTCGGTGGCTGAGTCTGTAAGTCTGTCTCTCCTTATCTTTCAGCCACTTCTTCCAGCATAATTCACTGAAGCTGACAGGTTGGCTCACATCTGTCTCTCAACTCTGCCTCAAAGCATGGTTAAGTAATTGGGTAATGGACTTTTCCACTCACAATCAACTCAGTTATGTTGCGGTCCGCGGCAGCAGGGTAAACTCCGAGTGGAGTGGGGGGGACTGGGGAGTCTTTGTACCGTGGGGTTTGTATGAAAATTTTATAACTGCATTTTTGGCATTTCTGGGAGCATTTTTGTAATTTGTGATCATCCGTTTTGTAGGAGGGGAGCCGTTAAAAGGCAAAGTTGCAGTTGTCTTTTAGTTTATATGTTGGAGACTGTTTATAATCAGGAAACGTTTCAGTTTTACTCGTAAAGTTTTTACATTTCCGGGTGTTTTAATTAGAGTTGAGAGATAAAGTAGCCTCTGTCATCTTCTGTGTGTTTGTATGTCTTTCATATGTCTGTCTTTTCAAACATGGGTCACTTTCTAATCTGACGATAATGTGCTTTATCCACTGTTTGTAATCTCTATTGTATATTATTGCTGTCCAAATATGTAGAGATGAGAGATTTTTAGAGCAGTAGAAACTTTTATTTTTCACTATTTGAACCAGCAACTAAGCCCGCCTGTATATTTTAACTGTCTATTTTTTTCTCTTTAGAGTGAACTCTACATTTAGGTGAAATTGCCCTTTATATTAAAAGTGCTGCATATTGTGAGCATAAAGGTTTTGAACGGGGTAGAGTGACACAGTAACTCTTGTACAGAGTTTTTCTTTTTTGTAAGAAACCAACCAGTTCAGCATAACGTCTATATTGACATTGCATTTCTTGTATTATTTATTCATATCAATGAAAAGTTCTCAGTTTTTTGAGTAATGTTGGAAAAAAGAAAAAAAAACGTAACTGCAGATAAAAGTACTCTATGTTTTTAACAGATTGTGGCAACTCTGAGGAGATTCTCTTTTGTACTTGATAGGACATTTCATCCTAGATAATAAAGTAATGTTTTTGACACCAGTGTTTTCTCTCATTGCCTCTGCTTTTTAAGCTTGATACAAGGTTGTTTTTGTTTTTTCGTGCATTGTTTTAGTCGAGTTTAAGGTTGTTTGGATGAGCAGTTCTCATATTTTGTCTAAAACAAATGTCTTCGATCAGTGTTTCCCCCAAAGAGACTTCTGTCTGCTCCACTCTGTGTCCCCCCACGCAGACAAAGGTATGTTTGAATGGCTCTTTGTGAGGACGTAGCCTCACCAGTCATTTTGCAACCTGCGGCAGCTCAATTGCTCGTTAACACAAACATCCAATCACCCAAAATGGCAGCAGCTCATTTAGGCTTGTAGACATGGTCAAGAAGACCTGCTGAAGTTCAAGCTGATCATAATGTTGGTGTCACATAGGCTGGTCTGAGTACTTTAGAAACTGATGGGATCGAACTCTAAACAGAGAGAAAATACCCAGTGAGCAGCAGTTCTCTGGGTGAGAATGTCTTGTTGATGCCAGGGGTCAGAGCACAGACTGTTTTTAGATGAAAGGAAGGCAGCAGTAACTCATGTAACCACTCATTACAAGCAAGGTATGCAGATGAGCATCTCTGGATGCACAACACAAGAAGCCTTGAAGCAGATGGGCTACAAAAGCAGAAGACTACACTGGGTGCCACTCCTGTCAGCTAAGAACAGGAAGATGAGGCTACAGTTCACACACGCTCACCAAAATTGGACAATTGAAAATTGGGTTCAAGTGGTAACATCAAGAATTTGTTATAAACAACACAAAAGCATGAGTCCATCCAGCATTGTATCAAGTGGTGTTGGGGATGTCTTCGTGGTACACTGTGTGCCCCTTTAAAAACCATAGCCTACCTGAGTATTGTTGTTAATCATGTCCATCCCTTTGTGACAACAGTGTATTCTTCTGATGCCTGCTTACAAAAGCATAACGCCATGTCTCAAATTACAAGTCTTTTCAAACGTGTTTCTTCAACATGACAGTAAGTTCACTGTACTTATACCGTCTCCACAGTCATCAGATTTCAACCCAATAGAGCTTTTGGGATATGGTGGAATGGACAATTCCCACCCTGGAGGTGCAACTGTTTGATGCTGTTGTGTCAACATGGACAAAAATCTTTGAGCCATGTTTCCTCTCCTTAGTGAATTTGAAGAACGAAAGCAGTTCTGAAAGAGAAAGCAATTAAATACAGTTCTAGCAGGTTGTACCTAATAAGAGAGCTGATAAGTGTACACATAAAGTGTACACCAAAATCTTAACCTAATTTTAGCCACCATGTTTAACTATCGAACCCTTACGTTAATCTAAAGTTAATTCTAACTTTAAACCCCAAACAGCAATTCAGGCAGGTATGATAATAATTTTGAAATAAGTTACTGCATATAAATATAACATTTTCAGTCCATACAAGAAGCGTCCCTTCCCTTTGAATCAGTGAGACATGACCATATTGATAACTTAATGATCAAGAGCAGAACTGTAAGCAGTCCAGGGATGTTTTACTGACACTTTTAAAGAGAAAACCACAGCCAATGAGATGAAATAACAGCATGCATAGTCTCCAATTAAGCATGAAATATAAACAGCCAATTTTCAGCACAAAAGAAATGCTCGACCACTGTGCATGAACGAACAACAGGATGATCTCTCACATTTTTTCTTCTTTGAATTTGTAACCATTTGAGTAAAAATGGCCATTTTTTTCAAATCTCACAATGGAAAGAATCCCTCCAAAAATTCTTAGTTCAGGATCTGGAGCATCTCCAAACGGTAATCACATCTACGCTGGGCCGAGGTCCATGTTTTAAAATAAATCTGCTCATAGCTTTTAATAAAACAACTGTTCTGGAGGAAGGTTCAGAGGAGGTTGGAGGTTGTTACCCTCATGGCTTATCCGGTCAGGATGAGAATGAACAGTCAGCAATTACTTGTAGGTTTCTCGTTTTATTTGAATAATGCGTGTAAAGGAAAGACACACATGGACTGTTAACTCTGAAAGGAAATAAAGTATGACTTAAGTCATTCAGTAACTCAAATTAATACATGAACTCGGGAAACTCAACAGAAACTCTCCTCAGCTGCCAACCCATGTGGGAGTGAAGAAAGAGTGAGCTGTAGGTGAGTGCAGTCCTTATATAACGGGTGACAGGTGAATGCAAGGCACCTCCTCCAGCTCAACCTGGGGAACACCGAGGTGTTCCTAGGCCATCCGAGAGACATAATCTCTCCAGCATGTCCTGTGTCTACTCTGGGGCCTTTAGCAGGATCTGCCCGGAACACTACACGCAGGAGACATCCAGGAGGCATCCTTATCAGATCCCCAAATGACTTCTACTGGCTCGTTTCAATGTGGAGGAGTAGCATTTATCTACTCTGAGTCCCTCTTCAATGACTGAACTTCTCACCCTTAGGCTGAGCCAAGCCACCCTTTGGAGAAATCTAATTTCCAATCTGGAAGCTCAGTTATTAAGAATTTATACATTTGCAACATTTTATCTATTTTACATAGCTTAACTAAGATGCATATTCCATCTCTTCCCCCCTCTTATCATGTTTTCTCTAATAATGCATTCAATTAAAAAAAAAAAAAGATGCAAAGGGAATATCATCATTTCCTGAGAAGGAAGCATGCACGCAGTAAACCAAACAGGACCAAGAATAGAACCTTGGGGTACACCGCAACACAAATTCACTGACTTCTTGCTACTTTATTACTTGGAAATTACATATTAACATTACTTTCGATATCTGTATCTACACCTGTTTTTGCATTAAAACAATACTGGTTTATTAACTGGGCAAACTGGGGTAGATTACTCCCAGTGACCCATGGTAATTTGAATTGACATGATGAGAAACACTTGTCTTGTTGGGAACTGTTTTATAGAGAGGTTAGATGAGAGGCAGTCTGAAGCAACTGAAACAGGGGTCTCTGCAGGAGCCACAGCTAATTGTTCCTCTTTGGTACTTGGTGAGTTGATCTGACTCCAAATATGAAGTTCAGCTTTCAGCTTAAATTGTTAGCTGCATGCTCAAGGCAAGCATGAGGGACAAGGTCATGACCCCTGCGCTGAGACACACCATCTATTCCTGTGATGAAATTACCAAGATGACACATCCAGCCACCTCCTGCTTTGATCTTTCACTTTTCTCACACACCCCTCTCCACAACCCACCCCCGACTCTTTAACTCTCCACTCACCACTAAATGGATCCAGAGATTCAAATGGACGCAGATGACCACAAGCCCGAAGTTGGTTGTGAGGGGCGTTCACACAGGAAGCAGCTCATAGATATTTTCACCCAACCTCCCCTCCCTTTTTTCTCCCCTCCCCCTCCTTTACATCCTCTGTCATGAGGAATGTGCTCCCGCTGTGATAGTAGCAACAATGTGCAGCAGGCTCCTGTTTCCTGCCCGTATGCATCTGTTCCCTCCAGCGCTGATCCCAGATAGGGGCTTCATCGAGCCTGGGAACTGACCTGGGCTGACATACATGCAGAGAGGGAGAAAAGAGGCTCAGCACTCCCTGGATCAACATCCAAGTTCCCAAGTCAGTCTCTCTCTTCGTGGAGGCCAGGCCGAGACCTTTGGTTGCTAAACTCTAATTAGGTTGGTGACTCCTTGTCCGGCTCTCAGTGGGAATGACAATAAGGATCACTGTTGGTAGTGTACGTGTGACTGAACGAGCCAGGGGGTGTTGGTTTAAAGATAAATAAATTCTTCGCAGGGCCACAGTACAAAACAAATACACACTTTTATTGAGTTCATGTTTAGTAAAGCAAAGTAAGCGTTCAGTGCAAATCTTTTCCCTCTCCTAAGAAGCATGAGCTCAGGGTCATACTACAGTTGAGCCTGGGATTTTTTATTAAATAAGAAAGACAGACGCAACAACACGGTCTCTACAATTTCACTTCTCTCCCTGCATTATTTTACACAACTGTCTGTATTCCTCCTCCTCCTCCTCTTTGCTCCCCACCTCACGTTTCCTCTGATCCTGCCGACATACTTTGAATGCTCACCGTCCAAGAGGAGTATGTGTTTGTTTGCAAGAGAGGAAAGCAATAGGCACTCCAAAAAGGAGCTGTGACGGAGGCACTTCTTTCAGTCGTGTGTCCAGGTGTGCGGAGGATCAGATTCCCGCGATTAGATTTATGGCGTACTCCCAACAACAGCGTACCTCCTCCTCCTCATTCAGCAAGACTCCTTTTGATGTCCCAGTCGACCTAGCCAGACATCATCATGAAATATATAATTAAACTAAAAGAAGTAAGCCACTCTCGTGACATGCAAAATCTCTGCTCACTTTTTGTCTTTTTTTCCCCCTCCTCTTCCTCCTCCACTGAAGGTTTGGTGCTGCTTTTAAGGCCCCCAATTCCCTTCCTTTTATTATTGCATTTCCTGCTTGCCATTATCAACCCACAGTGACGCCATGCACAGGACTGAGTGTTGCAAACCAACACAGTCCAATGCCATACAATATTTTGCATCCATTGGCTAATTAAAGCAAGATTTACATGTTATAAGTCTTCAAAAGGTTATAGAAACTGTTAATTACAGGGGAAAAAAGGATTTGGAGTAATTTTGGAACAGTCGTGCGTAGAAGTGTTTCAGTTTAACCAGATTTGCTCCATGTCTTTGTTTTGTTAGGTTATTGTGGAAATACAGAGCAAACTTTTAATTAAAGGAAAAAAACGTTTTGTTTTTGTTAAATTAACAGCATATTCCACAGTTCATCTAGCAATACCATGTATATTTCTCAAAGACCAAACCAAAGTATGACTGGAGGAAACTATGTAAGGGGGACACTGTTACACTCATTAAATTGAAGGAATGAGGGGCTTTCTCTGCTTTTTTTATGCAAAGTTTTACAGGAAAGCTGAGATAATTATCTCTGTAACATCCTGTGGTCTGTGTACCCTAAATGCCTTAATGTTTGGATCCTAACCCTATCATCTAGAGAATTTAAAGAAAGAATTTCTTTGGGGGGAGAAGAGAAATGCAAAATGTCCCCGAGTACTATGAGAATGATTTTTTAAAGACAAAAATCAAATATCCTGATATTGTAGGGTTAAAGGTTATGATTTACTATTCAAATGTTTATTCAGAAAACCCTTTTCTCAAGTAAAAGCATTACTCTTCCATAAAAATATTCCCACTCGGTAATATGTGAACTAAAGATGAGCCAAATTTCCCTTTAACATGCAATGCCTTATTAATGCAAGGATTTCATGAACCAGCCATGAATGGATGAAGAGTTTGTATGTTGACAAAATAACATTTGCCTCATGGAAAAAACATCATAAAACCCATTTAATTGTAGCTGCTTGTGTTTTCTGTAAAAAGAAAGAAAGAAAAAAAAAAGATCACAAGCCAGCAACTGTGGATTTTCAAAGATCGGTAAAAAGGAGATGATCCAGTCCTTGGCTAGCATCAGAGCAGTCCATATGAAACTCAATCGATGCTTTCGCCACATGTCTTCTGTCTACGTGAGATCAGTTCACGTCTGCTGCAGTGTCTCTTCCCCTGCAGCGAGGGGCGATAGTCTTATCTCTGGTTCACCTACACCTGGAGCGCGTGGCCTCCAGAGCTTTCTGGTGTCGCCGCTTGTTGTATCTCTTGACGTAGCTGTTGCTTCTCAGGATGCCGTCCCCGGGCTTCAGTTTACCACCCAGCAGGTTCAGGAGTTCAGAGGGGAGGTGGCGTCTTCGGTGGTAGATCTGACCCATTATGACGTATCTGGTCCCTTGGGAAGAAAGAGAGCGAACGTTGAAGTGACGGAGGGGGGAAAAAGTGCAAAGTCAAACAATTTTTGTGTTTGCACTAAACACGTTCTGCTGATCTCAGGGAAAAGGAATTCCCACATCCCACAAAGTGACGCTTTGGTGTTAAGTTGTCACATGGTTTTTAATTTATGGGTCTCAAGAGTTGCATTCGTGTAAAATATCAATTATCAAACTCTGTACTTCCCACGATTTGTTACTTTAATCTCATCTCTTGATTACTCATGAACAAAGAACTGAACAGCTAGAAGACACTATAAATAAGAGTAAATATTAAATGATATTTATCATTCAATTAACTACACTGCATAACCAACAACAAATGAACATAATTAAAAGGGACACCGCTATTATTCTCGTTCAGGAGAGCTCAACCGGCACAGTAATGCTTTGCAAGGATTCAGACAGTTGACTGTTTTTCTCTGATGAAGCAAGTTTTTTGTTCTTTAGAGCTAAGGAGCTACACTGCAACACCTACCTAGTTTGATGTCAGGGCATGGCTTGCTACACTTGTAGGTGTCCAGGACCAGAAGGCGCACTTTGAAGAAAAAGCTGTCAGGGGTCACGTACAGACGGCTCATCTTGTAGAAGCCATCACTGCTGACCATCAGCGTAATGAGCCGGATTCCTCTGCGCAACACGTCGATGTCATGGACAATCCCATTGACAGCTATGTTAGAGAAAAACATGATCAGATCTTAAAATATCAGATTTTTCTATCATCATAACTCAGGCTTTGAAGGTGAAGCAATATTTTTGATGCTTTTATGAGGTGAAAATTCAGCTGCCAGCACCCCTAAAGCACTCTGTTTTGTTCATCTAATATAAAAACTGTTGGTCTTCAGGCTAAACTCCTTGGCGTCTAAGTGATCAAACATAACCATGCGTGTGAATAATGCATTTCCTTGAAACTACATCTAGTCTCAAAGGTCATAGTTTCATTATCCAGCTGTTGCATGTATACATTTCTTTATTATCAAAACTTTAAAGGCACAGATAGATATTCAGCTGTTAATGCGTACATTTAAAAAGGAGAGTTAACTCCAAAAATTAAATTTAAGTATTTTTGCTCTAGCTTGTGCAAATTAGCCATCCAAACTTTACCAACTTTGGAGATATTCTCAGAATAAATCCCTGCCTTTACTTGATGGTGGAACAACAGTCCAGAGGACTAACATGTTAATGTGATTTTGTGTGTGTGTGATAAAGAAGACCAGCACTGAAAACCAGTCCGTCTTTGTCTCACATTAGACACATACCAAATTCACTGTAGCAGTAATGCTCCTTCTCGTCCTTCTCCTTCCTGCACTCGCTCACACAGACGGCGTCATGTGTGAAGTCGGACTCTGTGGGGAAGTAGGACAAACACAGCGAGTCAGGGAATGACTGACTCTCATTCCAGCATCATTAGAAAAGACGAGGCTGTCATTACGAAACCGAGGCGTCACATTCCTCGGCAGGGGCCTGGAGGAGGTGGCCCGTGTCTCGGGATCACGCTGGTGGTACATTTTTTAACCTTAACTACAAAATCAGAGCTTTCCCTCTTGCTTTGCATTAGTTTCATTATAACCACGACTGGACTGCACACAGGGGACGCATTGACAGCCAGAATTGAGGGAAGTGGTTATAATTAGTTATAATTAGTGGCAGGAGACTTTAATTAGCTACTAGAGGAAAAGACAAAGCCACCGCTCTCATCACAACCCTCTGTGTGAACTCTGTGACCTGCGTCAGCATACATGACATATATACTGGCACAGCAACAGATTGGACTTTTCAAAGTGATAATTAAAGTGATATTTAAAGCACAGGAAAGAAAACAGCAGTGTAAATTTAAACTCAGCAGGATCCACTTTTTGCCACTATAAGTTTATAATAAAATTGAGTTTGGGCCTTTTCTTGTGATCAAATGTCAACTTTCCATTAATGACACTACGCTAAGAAAAATACCATCACAAAGCAGCTCTTTTTCATTCTGTAACAAATGTTTTTATTGTTTTGATAATTTGCACTCATGTAATATATATTGTTTAAAGGCCAGAGGCTGCAGATGGTTACGAGTGAGAAATATTGTAATATTAAAGATCAAAGATGTTCCCATCTGGCTACAGTCTTATTCAAGTTTAATAATTTAAAATCTATACTCCCAGGAGGGAGTAAGGTTCAAAGATCCCATCAAAAGATATCTGGACAGCTCTGTAATTATGCACAGGTCACATTTTGAGGTCAGGAAACAAAACAAAAAATCCTCCCATACCTCGCCGCATGATGTCAAACTGATAAAGCAGGCTGGAGGAGCGCCGGTTAAAGATCACCGGCGGGCGGCTGTTGTTCCGAGTCGCTGCACTGATGCCAGACTGATAGAGACTGGACTTCCCCGGCCGGTTCTCCTCTGGGTCCATGCGTCGGTTGGGGGGATCTTTGCGCGGGGGAGCAGCTGGTTGTTGTGGCTGAGCCTGAGGTTGGGTCTGCGGCGGCGCTCTGGGTCTGGAGTTGGGGTGTCCCTCTGGCTCGCCGTGTTGAGGAGGACTGATGTTGGACTGAGCGTCCTGACTGGGTTTCTGTACTGTGCGGTTGGTGGAAGCACCTGCAGCTGCAGTGACCTGGGTTTTGGGATGCAGACCAGCAACTTCTCCTCTGGCTTTCTCGCTGTTGTGCTCCTCCGAACGGTCACTCTTTGGGCCCTTTTTGCTCTTGCTGTGGGGACTGTGGTGGTGGGGGATGTGGGCCAGGTCAGTGTGCTTGGGCCACACAGCAGAAGGAAGAGGATGGAGGCTGAACTTGGACTCGCTGCTCTTGCTGCTCTTCTCTAGGAGTTCGTTGATGGGCAGGTTGGGCTCTTTAACCACCAGTCTGCTCTGATTGCTCAGAGCTGGATCCACAAAGCTGCTCTGACCCTTTTCTATCAGCGTGTACAGACCTGCAGTCGAAAGAAACAAAGCTTCCATTTAGTTGCACAGTTTGGCAAAAAGAGATCTACAACAATGGGTGAATTTTGTGTAATTGACCCATTGTGGACCTTCCTTGAAACCTGGATGAATTCTTACTCATTACTCTATTATCAATAGAGTACAAACAATATTATGCTATATTATCCCTGTTATGCCTGAAATAATTGCAGATTTGTAATTTTTGAAAAATACTGGAGTGTTTATTGAACCTTATGATAAATAAAAATACATAAATAAATATGAATTTGCATATGTGAGTCTTAATTTGTATAATTCTTTGCTACATCTGCCATTTTTGTGCAATTTATTGCTCAGCAAAACAAAAACACATGAGAGGGTTAGGGTTAAAAACATCACACTGGTGATGTAAGGGTATCAGAAATTCATCTATCAAATATGATGCACTTAATGTTACAGGGTTAAACCTAAAAAAGGTACAACATGAAGTCAAGTCACTCTCCATCTAAAGCCTATTGTATATCTGTAATTGCATGTAATAACAGATATTTAGGCTATTTATGAATGATACTAATGTCACTGAACACAGCGTTCAAAAAAGATTAAGAAAAATAATCCACTCACCATTAACGACATGCTCCTCTGTGTTGTAAAGAGGAAACACCACAAACAAAAGCGTCAAAGTAATCCCTGCCATCCTTCAAGCTCACTGTGGACACACTTTCAGGGGTCTGCTACACAGTTGGGATTCCTGGGATTTTTATAGGAGCTCTCAGGAAGGAGATGGGATGGAAAAGGGAGGTGGTGGGACGTCCCAAACACAGAAAATAAACACTTGGACGTGACACTCCTTTCATTCATGCACGGATTCTGAATAGGCCCGCAGTGTTGTTTACAGCCTGTGAGGGAAACTGTGACACTGTGTGCGTATTGTCTGCTTCACACAAAGTCAGTTTTTATTCAAAGTGAAACTTTTCCTGGGATGTGGTTTCCAGTTGACTGTTTGAAGTTACATTACTCTGCTTTTTAGTTATTTAATAATAATTAACCTAGTTCTATTAAATAGGTACTAAATAGGAACAAGAGCTAATAAGACTTTCTAAGTTAACATCCTTCCTCACTTAATTTAAATACAGTTTTTTAGATCTGACTGATCCATGTGTATTCACTGCCCTCTGCTGAGCAGAAATAGAGACATCTGAAAACAGTGGTGGCAGATGTGTTTTTTAATGTCTGATATATTGGTTTATATTGTTAAATAGGCTGTAGTCAACAGGATATAAGCAAATAACCTATTTTGAATGTATATTTATGACTTTGTGTTATTCAAATATATTTACAGAGCTGTTAGCTGCTGCTATTTCTGTTGCTCTGTCGCATAAGACGGTGGTTTACTGCTCCTTTGTCTCCAGGATGGCCGTGGCTGTGCTACAGACAGTTTAGATGGCCATAATATTGTGGTACAGGTTCTCTGAGGCCTTTTTTCATAGATCTGCTGTATGTTACCTATAGAGAGGTTTTTGTTCTTTTCAATTTTTTTTTTTACATTTTATATATATTAAATATAACTGTGCAGATCAATTGAATGGGTTTATGAACAAGGCACAAACCATAAAATGTTGAAAACAGCTTGTTACCGGATTCATCGCTAGTCATATGTTCAACCCAATGACTGTAGAAAAAAATTTCATCTCGTTAGTATTATCACACAATGTACAACCGGATGTTCCAATGTTCCAATATTCTTGTTTCTGAGTCTGTCAAAGAGCTCACAGCAGAACCCCGAAAAGGAAGTTAAATACGACCCAGATGGGACTCGAACCCACAATCCCCAGCTCCGGAGGCTGATGCCTTATCCATTAGGCCACTGGGTCATTACGTAGCACAAGTGTGGAAAATTCAGTCATGAAAATAGAAAATCGAATATGTAGTCAGTGATATTACTCATTTACTTAATAGTAAAGATTATATTTATTTTTTATTTAAAAGAGGAATAATTCGCAATGAAAACATTTACAACCCAGCAATAGCATTTAGCACACGAAGAACAAGCTAACGCACAGAAACGTTAACAGGTTTTCTCGCGATACTGACAGCGGTTGCCTTTGACAACATATTTGATGCTTCTTTTCCTTAAACGTGACCAATGAGGCGGTGCTAAAAAATCCAACTGGCCAATTAAAAATCAGAAAAATTGGAACGTCGTTACATGACGTCGTGCATATATTAAAAGAATACAAGAAATCTGAACGGTAAGCACGTTGTACATGCTATGTGGCTAATAGTGCATTTATTTGTTTTTTCTCTAATTGAAATTGCTATTGGGCTTTTGTAATGGCTAATACAGTGTATAACCTTTGTTTTCTGAGTTTCAGCGGGTTTTTAGATTATTACACAGACCCTGTATCTGAAGGGCCACATGGTGTTAGATAACCGGTTTGGCTTCAAGACAACCGCCTGGTTAGCTAGCTCAGCGCCTGCTTACTAGTTGACACCTGAGACTAAAAGCAACCGTGGCTGCTGCCGCTTATTTTTTGTCGTTGTGAAATTATTACAGGTAGCGTCTGATTTTAGTGGAATCGATTGTGTTGCTCAACGGTCAGGAATGTCAGCGGGCACGGACAACGGAGCGAGACTCAACCAGTTCAAAAATAAAGGAAAAGATGCTAATGTAAGCTCTGAACCTAGCAGTAAACGTCAGAGAGTTAATTCGGTATCCCAAATGCGCTGAATGCTGTGGTATATCTTTTATTTGTGTGTCGGTATAATCAGGAGCTGAGGCGCAGAAGAGCGGAAGTCAATGTGGAGCTGCGAAGAGCCAAGAAGGATGACCACATCCTCAAGAGGAGAAACGTCCACAGCCTTCTGGACGAGCCAACGTCCCCTCTGCAAGAGCAAGACCCCAACGTAAGGGTAATCAGCAGGTTCTCTGTGTTTGGTTTGGCTGTGAGAGTAAAGGTGACCCACCTGATATAACCACAGCTGCTTAACTTGTTTGAAACATTGGAGTTCGAGAAGTTTACTCGTTATAAACAGGATGTAACAGCTTCCAAAGGAACACCTCTGCTGAGCGTGCACACAGGAAGAACAAAAGCTAAGCCTGCTCAATTTTCAAGCATTATCCAAAGGTCACTAAATCTTGGAGCAGGTGTCTGTCTGGTGATAACAGACTGTTGACTTTTAAAAAAAATGTATCTCAGATAATTTATAAAATGTCTATTTATAATTGAGATATGTTGCCCCGATTGAGTTACCATGACCTAAAAACATTCAAAGCAAGTTCCTCTAAATGTGTTATTTTTAGCTGCTCTGGTTTTATTGGCAGTAATCCCCTTTCATTTCTCTTTCTGTTTTCATAGCCTCCTCATCACTGGACAGTAGAGGAAATTGTCGGAGGTGTAAACAGCGAGAATTTAGATCATAAGCTGCAGGCAACGCAGGCAGCCAGGTAATACTTGTAATGCTGGGTTAATTGACTGTGTGTGGGTGTGAATGTGTGAGACAGTTGCTCAGTGACAACCTCAGGCTGGAAGAAAAAAAAAGGTTGCGTAATGAGGTACTTGTGCTTTTGTAGTGTATTATAGTGTACATATTTTTTTAAATCAGTGCAATTTGCACTACTCTGCACACTCAGTTTTTTTTTTACTTTTTTAAACTTAACCTAATTTGTAATAATTTTTTTTAAATCGGTGTCGTATATATATGAAATGTTTGCGCTTTCTCCCAGTAAAAGGGACTCACTATGGGCCTGTGGCACTTTAACTTTGTTTATTTGTTGTACACTGTACTATTATTATTCTTTGTCCTGTTTCTGTAACACTCTCTATCTATCTGCCTGTAGTTATATCACTGGTATTACTATATTAATGATATTAAACAGTTTGAAAATAGATTTTCCTTTACTTTTAAGTTACTTCAATTTTAACAACGATCCAACTGTGTTTTTCTGATTCACAGAAGGCTACTTTCCAGGGAAAAACAGCCACCCATTGACAGCATCATTGCTGCTGGACTCATCCCAACGTTTGTTAGTTTTCTGGCGTTGTCTGAATGCCCCCCCATCCAATTTGAGGCAGCTTGGGCCCTGACTAATATTGCCTCAGGTACTTCAGACCAGACTTCTGCTGTAATAGATGGAGGGGCCATTCCAGCTTTCATCAGCCTGGTGACATCGCCCCATCAGCACATCAGCGAACAGGCCATTTGGGCTCTGGGTAACATTGCAGGTACTGTGGCTCACAAAACTCAACCTCTTTCTTTGGATTTGATGTTATTTTATGTACTTCTGTGCATTACTACATCCTACACTGTTCCGGGTGTATGCTCTGATAGTTTTGATTTTAGGATGCATTGTAGATTATTGTGGACAATTGTGCCCACTTTAGTTCATCTGGAGTTCCATTTAGCCTGTGATATTAAAGGCTTTAAAGTGCATTTCTGTATGTATACAGTACTTGTGCAATGGATCACGGTTGATCCGTAATCCGAACCGATCCCACTCCACGGTTCGGCACGCACGTGATCCGAAGATTCGAAAAAGAAGGGGAAAAAAAAGTATGTGCATGGTGTGCGTGGTGGGTCTGTCAAGCAATAGTTATGGCCAGCGCTAGCGGTCCAAGTGGAGGAGCAGAGGCGTTTTCGGTATTTAAGCAGCCCTTTGCTGCCCAGTCCGACCGGGCTAAAACTATTACAAAAGCTACTGGGGTGTTTAGCTGCAGACGGGAGGCCGTATTCCGTTGTGCAAAACAAGGGGTTTAAACTATGATGAACGTGCTTGAGCCACACTATGATATCCCATTCACGTCCACTTTAGTGTGACAAGATCGTTCCAAGCATGTATGACCAGGAAAAGTTTAAAGTTATGGCTGAACTGTCTCAGGCATCTTCTGTTGCCCTAACTACTACAACTGGGTGGACCTCCAGGGCAACGTAAGCTACGTGACCGTGACAGCTCATTATATCACAGCGAAGTGCGATATAATGAGCGGTGTGTATTATTGTAGGGTCTACCTTACAATATAAAGCGCCTTGAGGTAACTGTTGTTGTGATTTGGCGCTTTATAAATAAAATTGAATTGAGTGGTAGATACAAAGCCCTATACTGCCTTATATTGAACCATAATTTTTTTTTTAAATAATTGCGTGGAATGAGTCTAGAGTTGAATGTTTTTAACAGGCAAAAAATACTTCAATAAGTGAATAAGTAAATGTTAAATTTTGTCTTTTTTCTTTTTTTGCTGATCCAAAAATGGATCTGATCCGTGACTTGAAACCGCGATCCGATCCGAACCGTGAGATTTTTGATCCGTTGCACCACTAGTATACAGTAAAAAGTGCGTTGTTGCTGAGTCCCACATTGGGTCCATTTTCCAAAGATGATTAAGCTAAAAACTAGAAGTCTGAAATTTTAGTTTTGCTAACCATGTGTACTTTCAAAGTATCTGCCTTTATGTGCCCTTTTTCTGATTACTCTAAAGATTTTTTTCCTCTATATTTAGGTGATGGGCCCAGTTCCAGAGACCTAGTGATCTCACATGGTGGTGTCCATTCACTCCTGGCTTTGCTGTCAGCCCCTGACCTGTCTGTATTTCCTGTGAGTTTCTATCAAATATTATTGTGCCTTTAACAGACATTTGTATTAAATTATCTCACGATAAATACATCAAAAACCTGAAAAAGTTGAAACAAACAGCTTCTATACCTTATATCAAAATACAAA